ATTTGTAAATTCTGAACGCTGATTGGCTAAGAGCCGTGTTGATATAACTCAATGTCAACACGGAAACGTCGGAAAATTTCTTTCTTTATGTTTCTTTGCGCTATATTATAAAACAAATATAAAACATTTTTTCCATATTGATATATAGTTATATCAACACTCGTGGAAATTGAGAAAACTCGAAATTGTGTGAAAACACTCCGCCCGAAATCGAAACAATTTCTCGTTTTCCCAATTTCCACTCGTGTTGATATAACTGTATATCAACACGGAAAATGTTTTACATTTGTTAATTATTTATTAATTAATTAATTAATAATTACAACAAATGAATGAATTAATTTTTAATTAATTAATTAATTAATTAATTTGTTGTAATTAATTAATTTGTTGTAATTAATTAATTCATTTGTTGTAATTATTAAATGCGGGTAACGTTGATTATAAAAAAGTATTACTGTTATGGAGAAATTAAGGAACTACATGTGATTAGTCTGAACTCTTTATTGATGCTTAGATTAAAATTAGCCTCCTCCGCAGGCATCTCGTGGTATACTTACATAGATATGAACTAAAACAGTTCTGTTATATAATAGTTCATCAATTATATAAGTTCTCGACGATTAAGAGATGCATGCGGAGGAGGCTAGATAAAAATATTAAGAACATGCCAACATGTCCAATAAATTGTCCAATAATGATGTTATATCTCATCCTTTTAGCATTTTTTATCTCAGAAATGCGGAATCTCCGAGTCCAAAACACGGAATCTCGGAAATACGGAATCTCCGAAACACGGAAACTCCGAAATCTCAGAAAGTTGGAATCTCCGAAATATGGACTCTCGGAAATGCGGAATCTAAGAAACTCAGGATAACGAAATTTACTATAATAGTTACTTACTGCGGATTTCGATTTACCGTTTCAGGCCTTCCGTTTCCGGTGAATGTTTTCCGTTAAGGGGCGGACCATTAGAAAAGTGATGGGGGGGGGGGACTTTTTCAACTTGTACGAATGTTTTTTTTAATTTTTTTGCCTGTGTCGATAATTATTTTAAATATAATCCCTTGCACGATTTTTTTTTATTTTAACTTATAATTTTCCCCATTGAAAAGTCTCTGAAATTCGGCCTGTACTTTACGGACTTGAAATCCAGTCCAGTCCTCGTAGTCGGATTTGAAATATTTATCAAAACATTTATCAAATGACGCAAACGTGATTTTTACTGCCAAAATTTCGTTGTTGGGGGAAGTGAGTGAAGCATCACTCAGTGAAGAAAGAATGCGAGTAAAAAACAACTTGTATACTTTTAGTACGAGTAATGAAAGTTTAATTCTTCTTTTTATAGTGTACGTTGCGAGTAGATGTAGCTTTAATTAGTTATACGGTTAAATATTAACAGGGCATGGCGCCATGATTTGTATGGTATTAGTTTATATAGCAAGTTACCATGTTTTTCTCTTAAAAATTCCTCCAAAACAAAGTACTTTACAGTGAAGCGTTTCTGTAATGACAGTGACTCAGCAGGCTCAGTTCATTTACAATTGTGAGTAGAACAGTTTCTATGAATGCATTCCAGATCACAAGAAATACATGGTTGCTTTGCACGCGTAGACGTAGATATTCACAATTACTGTTTGCTTTTCGTCTTTGATTTAAATTTCAACCGTCTTTGTTGCCCGGTCTTTATTTTAATACTTAGTCTCTCCTCCTGCGCGAACGCGTACCCAAGCCTCTTGGAGCCGCCTCTTGCGCTCGATCTCGGCTTAATTCCTAAAAATTTAACCGGTTCAACAAGCTGTCCTGTTTTCCATATTCGCCGTACCTTATCGGAAACCGTCGGATTAAGTTCGAGCGAGAGCGAACGGTATGCGAAAGCGGGCAATATGGCGATTGCAGGGGTCAGTAAGACACATAGCCAGAACGAGCCGCTACCATACACTGCATACTGCACGCCGAAATACGACTGTTGAGGAGCAATGCCGAAGACAAACGCGGAATAAAATA